AACTTTGAAAACCCGATTTCAAGTTGAAAATATTTGTAATGTAAGTTATTTACATGCAGAACGGTTACGTTCAAGAAAAACTGACACGCGGACCTATTTAAGATAATGAGCTGGGGATGCCGAATGCTTTGGATGCCGTTTATTTTTAGAATTAAGCGCGATTGTGTGCGAATCCCGTTTGTGAGATTCCGATTTGTGTAATGTAAAGCTGAACTACTGACTGACTGACATATAGCTGTAACTATTGGCGTGTTTGAGGTTATTTTCCAAGAATCATCATCATCATCATGTCAGCCTTTAACTGTCCACTGCTGAACATAAACCTTAACATTATTATAAGCCTCCCCCTTGGACGGTATTGCCAATAGTTGCCACGTTTGGCAGGCGGGTTGGCAACCGCAGTTAGGCTTTTAGAGATGTTTTAAGAAGGATGCTGCTGCCCAGCCCTTGCCTTTCTTTAGTCGCCTCTTACGACACTCACGAGAAAAGAAGGGGTGACCCATTTATGATATGCGATATTCATATACAGGAGTGGGTGTTAAGCGGTGATCACGTTTTTAAAAAATTTAATTATGTAAACGCATTTTGGCGACGCTGAACACCTTTACGCTTATATTTTAATATCTAATGATGGAAACAAGCCTGACGTGGATGTCCAGATAAAATACAGTTGTCTTTTAGGTGCTAAATTCGCTCAAGCGCTAAAAAGACTGTCATACACTTTTTTATGCTTTTTTTTATATTATAAATCGTGTTCCACAAAAAAACCGACTTCAATTGTGATAAAACCAATTATTTTGATTTGAAACTAAACTAACCGATTTTGATATTTCTTTATGGAATCAAACTATAAGTGTATCTTTTCAGATAAAAACAGAATTTTCAGTGGCACAGAGGTGTTTATAGTAGTGTTTTGATTTCAATACATAAAATTACACGGTACAGAAACATAATACGATACTTCTTAGTTATGGCAATATATGATAAGGGTATAGGGAGCATTGACATGCATTTTGTACTATCCATGGTGTTGTTCATGTTTTTAGGCGATAGTTACCACTTTCCATTATATGGACCAGGACTTTCTATCAGTTTGTTTGTGTTCAAGTTGCATAAAAAATCTGTTTGTACCAGCAGCTACCACTTTGCCACTCCAACGGAGCGTAATATGTTATTGACGTTGTCAAATAAATCTTTATTAACGTAATTACGTTGGTGTGCATACGCACGAGTTGCAAGGTGCGACATTATTTCGAGTCGGCGCCAGTCGTGTCGTGTCGGGTATTTAGCTCGATGCCCACCTTGTCAGTTCGAACGATGCGAATTATTTTCGAAACGAAAATTTTTATCATAATTTTTGTCTTGTGTTTTCTAATCTAGTGGTATGAGAATTTGTTGATAGTTATGTTTTCGTTAGCGCACACGTGTGAAAGAATAAGATGCTGAATGTGTCTGTCTCGTTCTGTCTCTTATGTACAAATATAAATGACTTTGAATTTTATTATTTAGATACATATGATCTGATACTGCTTAGTATTTTTTTTTATACAACTTAGAATGGCAAACGAACTGACGGTCCACCTGATGGAAAGTGGTAACCGTCGCCTATAGACATGAGCAGTACCATGGACATAACAGAGTATACTGTTTCGCCCATGATACCCCCCATTCCTGAGGACTCAGGTGTTATTCCTCTGTACCCAGTAAATTCACGCCATATCCCACCCTTCAAACCGAAACACAGCCATGCAAACACAACTGCTTCACGGTTGAAACACGAATGGGACAGAGGTACTCAAGCAATCGACTTTTGTACATAGTCTCCCTCTGGTAGTAGTTAGTAGTTTGTATTTACACAAATTCATTATTTATATAGTTAAACTTGTTGAATAAAGCAACAGCTGAGTTTCTTGTCCGTTCTTCTTTGCTGAAATTACGTTTCGAATGGGCGGTAATGAAAAAATTACTATTCAAAAATGCTTAAATCTAAGTTTACTTGAATAAAAATATTTCTTTATTTCTTACATATGTTTCGGTTTGAGGGGTGGTATATGACAGTCAAATTTACAGGGTCTTACACCGTTTTCTTTAGAAAAAGCGACGTATGAGTATTGTGCTATTCTTTGATGTTTATGGTTTTATCCATTTTTATAGTCGACGATTACCATTTTTTTTTAATGGATAATAATGGAATGGTAACCCCACCCGCGCTATCGGTATACACTGGCGTGGCACCAGTGAAGGATGATAGGTGAGTATGAAGCAGGTTAGTTAGCCCATCGTGACGAATTCAACAAGAATTGTTCACGATGGTTTTCAGGGGGAACCACGTGGAGGTCGACCTAATAAGGCATATTGCTAGCAATGGGGCTGTCAAACTCCAATGCTAACAATCCCTTTCCCCCGACGATTATCATCATGTGGTGGGCCTTCAGCTTGTTTGCCATTCTAAGTAGCATAAAAAAAAAAAACATTATATATGTATTATATGTACATAGATTATCGGTTTCACTGTTTGTTTGAGCTTATTCTAATTAACTATTCTGATTTCGCAACAGCTCATCCGTGGAACGTGGCACCGCGGCCGGCGCGTACGCACTTCGCGTCGCAATTCTCTATCAAAACAAGTGTCGTGTTGCGCCACTTCATGTTGCATACTTGTTTGTTTGTTTAATTTATATTCGCGGAACTTTACGCCATTAATTTTTGTCATTTTCTGCAAATAAATTGGAGCTAGTTGTGCAGAAAACAGGCACACTACCTGGGGTGATCACAAGAGACGGTTGTTGTTATTGCATTTGATTTATTAGTACAAATAAAAAGATTTCCAACAACTCGACAAAAATATCAACAACAAACAGGACAACTCGACAAAAAATATAGTTACATTAATTTATAAACAAATTATGTTTTGTTCAAACAAAAATTTGACAATGATCAAAACATAAACACACAGCTAAAGTCTGTAAACACAATATAATTTAAACAACAAAAAATGGATAATCATATATATATATATATACACATACACACACATATACATACATATACACACATACATATATACACATATATACATATACATATATATATATATATACATATACATACATAAATATACACACACATACAAACACAGACACACACACACACACACAAACACGCACGCGCGCGCGCACACACACACAGAAACACACATACCACGGTGTACATATTACGTTCATATATATGTTACAACAAAAGAAACTATCTACTAATTACAGAGGAAAATAATACGTAAACGTCGTGACGAAAATCCTTCTGACCAAATATATCAAGCTTTTCACCATCCTGATGAGCACCACCAAACATTATTATAAGACAATTCTTAAAATGGAATTGTTAAATGAAACATTATTCCTAGTGTTTGGCACATCAAAAACACGGGAGTACGACATTTATTGTTAGTATTAAAGTATAGTAAATTAAGTAGCGAGGGACAGTCAACCATAGAATTAACAATTTTATACAAGTAAATTAATTCAGATTGTCTTCTAGATAATAAATTATCTAATTTAAAGTATTTCATTCGCGAAGCATAGGATTGAAGTTTCCTGACTTATCGTCTACAAGTAGTTGCATTTTCTGTATTCTTTCAATATTTTCTTCATGAATAGCATAATAGGGGAATATTATAGTAAATACTCAGCAATGGGTCTTATAAGTGTTTTGTATAAGTATAGTAAACTGTGGGGTTTATTAAAATTTTTAGTTGCTCTGTATATGAACCCAAGCAACTGGTTACAACGACTGATGATATAATCATAATGTAAAAAAGATAACTTTGAATCAAACATTATTCCCAAATCTTTAACCACATCTTTACGCTTAAGTTTTTGCTTGTTTAAAAATATAAATATTAAAAATATTAAAACACACAAAAACATAGATTAAGGACTTCCAAAACACAAATTGATGTTAAAGTTACATAATACGTATACTTCTTGCATGATTTTAATACAATTTAAATAATTTGACTGTATTTAGTATTAATATAAATCTACGTGGTTTCTGAATGCTAATGTAACATAATTTCTGTAAAAAAAAGTATCGTTTAAAAATATTAAAAATGCCAAAACATGGTTCCTTTGGATTTTATGGTGAGATTTATGACGAACATTTTGTTAAGCTCCTTTTACTAGGCCATAAAATTGAGTCCGAATATTTGAAATTTCATTTCATGGTAGACACTTACTTTTATGGTCAACGCAAAATGCTTCAACGGGGGGGGGGGGATTGTTAGTAATGTTTCTGCCCATTGCTAGCAATATATCCTAGCAGATTGACGCGCTGAATTCCAAGTGTATTATTCATCATGATGGACTACCTGGCCTTTTCATTTCAGATTAAACAAGTAGATCTTATTCTAAAAACCTAAAACACCGACAAGAATGGCAAAACTTGTCATATTGATTTAAAAACCAAACTACTCGACCAATTTTGAAGAACTGTTTACAGAACCAATGTAAAAGTATGACCTTTTAGTAAAAAAAAGGAATTTTCCAAATTATAAATATTATTTTAAAGATTTATGTTCATTTTTAACGATGCCTACGATACATGCATCACGGGAATTTTATGACCTTACTGTACTTGTTGTTTCCGACAATTGTTTGGACTTCATTCAATCATCTTCTGATTTTATACATTGTAATTCGCATTACGATCTCTGACAATTGTTTGCAATCGACAAACACAGTAAGTTGATCAAATTCCCATTGTGCATATGTATATACTGACATTGGTTTATAAATGGCTTTTGGGGGGTAATATAAAGAAAGCAACAAATCGGGAACCTCTTTTATTTAATCATTCTTTATTTGAATTTAGTTAAAAAATGTTAAAATTCAGAATGTATATTCGTAGATTTTGATTAGTTGCAGTAGAAATTCCTCTTTTTGGGAGTTACCTACTTATAAAATGTGTTCTCAGTGAATTGATTGATGCATGTTTGTTGATAGAGAACGCGGTAGCGCCGTCTACGAAGCCGAAGAGACGGGCGATTCTCATGAAAAGGAAGGCGCTGACCACCGGCTTCTTCGACCAGAGTCGGACCAAGGACGACAAAGACAAAGGTGAGCAGTCCACTTTTGGACAATAATTACTAGACTATTTTACTGAATTAGTTGATTAGAATTATTTTGTTCAGTTTCGCTACTTAATTTGCACGTATAAGTTAGTACGCTGCCAACCCGCGAAGATCACTTATCTGATATTCTATAATCTTTCACATTGGCCATCCCTTATGCGTCTCTATTCTTGAGAACTACGAGTGTGCATCCCTCTATGCCTTTGTATCCTATAATTTCACTGCTGTAATCACAATTCAAATAAAGCTATGTAATAATTGATTTACGACAGAAACACCGATTGGACAGAATGCAAACGTTTTGTCTATAAAATTTCTCTTCGATGGAATTGGACTATAAAGTAGATTACTGTTTAAATTGTATGAAAAGATACGTATAAGAATCAATATTAAAGATTTCCGTTATTAATCAATACAACTAGATACAGTTTAATATTTTATGATCGAAGCCAACGGCGGCGTGACAAGGATGACTAACTGTTCGTTGTCTGCCAATACTCAGGGATCATGTTCGGAGCCTTACACAACCGTGGTATGCGCCAACTTCATTTACTCATTACGTACTGACATTTATTATAAAATAGTTCTTATAAATTTGGGATTAGCTCGTAAATTGATAACTGACACAGTTTTGACATTTGATGAGAGAAAAAAATCAAAATTTATTAAAGTTCTCGTCAACCAGTTCTCTGTAATATGTAACTGGTATATATTTTTTGATTATAATCTCCAATTTTCTGAAGATTCATTGTTCTGTTTATTTTAATAGAAATGAGAAACAGGCTGATGGTGAATGTGAAGTGATAAGGCTTACAGATGTGAAGTATTTACATTGGATATACTACGCTGGCCTTCCATGATTTCATGGTAGATATAGGTAAAGCGTCGCGATGGTACTACTTAAGAAAACGTTGCAAAATTCAAAGTAAATGAATAGGTACAATACTTTTGTAATTCAAACCACAAATTTCTTCTATCAGGACTGAATCTCGAGAGCCGTATTTCTAACTCAACTGTTCAGTAAGTTTTAAAGTCTGAACAAATGTATATATACTAAAATTGACACATATTGTTTGACACATTGAACTGGGAAATAATCAAATAACATTAAAGACTTCTTTTTCTTTTCTTTTTTGGCAAATTATTCTGATTTACTAAATTTTAATTTTTTCCTTTCCTTTATGGAACTCTTTACTATAACAATACTAAACAAATTCAACCTAGATGACGAAAAATAACCAAGAAACGACCAAGCAATTGCATAAATGACTTTGAATTAGACGACTTCTATAGTCATTGGTTTGTAGTTAGGTTTACAAGATACTTTACAAAATACTATCATGTTTGATCTAGCTTAAATGCTTATCTATAATTTGTTATTTTCATGATGCTTCATGCTCACTTTCCGACAGACAGTCGGAATTATTGCGTAAACATATTGCATATAAAAAAGTGCAGTGACCCACATGATATTTGAGTAAATAATATTGATTCACTATCCCACGTTCGTGAAACCATGTTTTCGGCCACATTTTATGATAATATGTAAAACATGTTACATAACGTGAAGGAATGCAGATGCAATGATTCACTGGTTATAAAATTCTTTATATTTTACAACCTCGGCAAACAGTGTTGCCACTAAATCACTATGATGTATTCATTAGGCAGACAACCGCGAAATCTCTAAATTATCGGTCTTATGTTAGTATTATTGAGATTTAAACGGATCGTTTATAGTTAATGATAAAAGAGAACCGCAATGAAAACGTCGTACTGACACCGGTTAGTTATCTTGATGCGATATTTCTTTAAATTTATTTGTTTCTCTCATTTTTTTTTTTTTTCGTTCGAATTCGACTAGTTTCTCCTTGATCTTGCGTGGAAATGTAGCATAGCTGTAATTAGCTATAACATGTTGTTTTGGAAACTAGTAGAATGTTAGTTTACTATTTTTATTGAGTAATAGTAGCAATAATATCGTCAATGTAGAGTTAACATTGATTATTTGTGACATCAAGAGTCTGATCTGTTGATATGACACAGTCTTAACAGTTGAGTCGTTCGGTATGTCTTAGATTTGGTTTTACTGATTGAGTTATATAGATACTTGATTTATTTAATGAAAAATCATCATCATTTTCATTCTAATAACTTATTATTGTCTTATTGCTGCATTGGCGTACATTTTCCAGACTGGGCTCCTTTACCTAGGATGTAGTCGTGGATATGTTTTCCATTTTGTCCACATCCGAAAGATTTGTTTTGACTCCAAATAAAACAGGGATGCCCCTCCACCCCCCCCCCCGCCCCCCCTTTAAATACACACTAAATTAATTATTAAATATACCATGCTCAGCATATTGATACTTACATAAGAGGTATCATGCTGTCTAGTTGGTTTGGTATATTACCTATAGATTTTTGACATTTTTCTTTTTCTTATTTATTATGGTTGGGCCTCTTTGTTGTCTCTTTTAACTCATTACAACAGTAGTAGCTAGTCATCATGTTTTATATATTATATTTTTTTCTAGTTGTATATAATTCCTTTATACTTATATATGTATATTATTATTAGTATTTTATGTTATTTATTTACAAATTAATTATTGTTTATAGGTATATATTATTAACTATTATTATCTTTACCTATCCAAATAATGAAGAACCTCGTTCGTGATTCACTGTTCACCCCAAAGGTTGACTGGTTAAGAATGCCACCGGCATTAAGTCCGCATTTTATACCATATTTTATTTGATCAATAAAGTTATTCAAATTAATAAATATTGGTACTACTACTAGCTACTTACGCATTTCCATTGCTATTCAGCGTGGAAATGCAGCAAGTATCCTATGTACCCTACCTGTGATCTCAAAGAAATTTTTTACCTTTTAATATCTTTTTAAGTACTTGTTCTTGATATTTGTAGCAGGTAGATGTTAGGTGTATATTTTTACATATTTGTATAATATAATATATATAAAATTTTGTCATTATGTCTAAAAAAATTGTATAAATATTGTATTTTTATATTGTTAGTACACGGAGAACATAAAAATATAAGATCCATTACAATTTCATATATCCAATAAATTTTAGTTGAATGAACTGTAAAGTAAATTACTCATTCCATCAATTCTTATAATGTGAATATGGATTGTTTGACATTGTAATGTTGAGAAATTGTGAGATCTTCCATACATTCCATACATCCAAGAGTTACAGCTGAAACTGACAGGTCGCTGAAACCGGCTGTACGTAAACAAAGTATGGAGAATAATAGATGATCGGTTTCTAATAATACCGTGTAGTGTGTAGGTACGGAACACATTTTTGTCTGTATTTACATTTTGTGACCTTGGAATGAAACATGATGTAAAATGAAGGGTTATTTCTAATGTATAAAGTGAATGGTAATAGCAATATACTGCTTCGACTTATACACCCTAAGTAAATAGTAATAATCTAGAACCTATGTAGATTATCATATACAGAGATTTAAAAGAGTAACTGTTGAGTCTCTTGCGGCCTCTTCTCAAAAGAACAACCATCCAAACCGTGCAGTAGATTAAAAAACAAACGACGCTTTAAAAGTGCTTTGTAAACAAGTCTATTTGGTTGATTATTTTTTTTATACAACTTAGAATGGCAAACAAGCTAACCCACCTGATGGAAAGTGATAACCGTCGCTTATAGACATGAGCAGTACCATGGACATAACAGAGTATACTGTTTCGCCCATGATACCCCCCATGCGTTGCCGTGATGCTATGCGTTGACTCAGGTGTTATTCCTCTGTACCCAGTAAATTCACGCCATATCCCACACCCTTCAAACCGAAACACAGCCATGCAAACACAACCGCTTCACGGTAGAAACACGAATGGGATAACGACAACACGAGTAAACGATAACACGAATTTACAAAGTTTTAAAAGATAATTTGTATTTTAAACTTTGTAAATTTATAGTTAACAGAAATTACTGTTAATTAACCGAGTTAATCCGAAGGAAGGGATTGATAGCAACGGAGACTGGTAGTGAAATTTCCAGCAATATGTCAGGTCGTCCTACACGCGGTTTCACCTGGAAACCATCTCTGTTAATTCTTCATGAAGAGTCAACTGACCTGCTTCCATCCTTACCCATTATCACTTATTAGTTCCTCGGCGTATACTAATAGCGTACGCGGGGCTATTATTCGACCAAATGACGACGGTAGATTCTCCGGTGACCATGTTCGGTTTTTTTTTTTTTTTGATGGGTGAAAATGGTATGGTAACCCCGCCTGCGCTAACGGGATACGCTGGCGGAGCACCAGTGAAGGGTGATAGATGAGAATGAAAACAGGCCAGTTAGCCCATCATGATTAATTCATCAGGAATTATCCATGATAGTTTCCAGGGGGAACCGCGAGGAGGTCGACCTGGTTGGGTATATTGCTAGCAATGGGATTCTCAGTCTCCATTACTAACAATCCCTTTCCCCCGACCATGTCAAATATATAAATCAAGTCGGTTCAAATATATAAATATACATATATAATTACAATACATATATATACAAATACAAGTACATATACATATATATATTATACGAGTATATACTCGGCGAAATGTGGGCGTGACGAGTGTTACGCCCCTCAAAACGCGAAAATAGTAGTGAATGTATTTTCTTTTTTTATATTTTAAAATGCAAAATATCTCATTACGAATACAGATGTATTTGATTATAGAAAAACGTTTAAAAATATACATGATATTTATGGTGCGAGTGTGAATATAATTTATAAACAGAAAATCCCTTTTATCTCTATTCCAAGAAGTAAATAGATTTTGTCTATTTTAAATATATGTACATATGATTGGAAATAGACTAGGTCACTTATTTAAAAGCGAAATTTTAAAAGTATCATCGAATCTGATATTTGGCCGTTTGGAATTAAATAAATATTTATAATTATAATATTAATATTATAATA